AAAGTCAAAAAGGATGCAAACATGCTGGGGGGAATTGGTTTCATAGTCACCAGTAATTCTCAGGAAGATAATGAAAGAAGAGGGAAGGACACTTAAAAAAAAATAGACTTGGAAAAAAAATAGACTTGGGGTGCCTGGGTGGCTCAGTCAGTTAAGCGTCTGACTTCGGCTCAGGTCATGATCTTACCGTTCGTGAGTTTGAGCCCCACATCAGGCTCTGTGCTGACAGCTCGGAGCCTGAAGCCTGCTTCAGATTCTGTGTTTCCCTTTCTCTCTGTCCCTCCCTGTCTCATACTCTGTCTCCGTATCTCTCAAAAATAAATAAACATTAAAAAAAAATAAAATAAATAGGCTTTACTTTTAGAGCAATTTTAAGTTCATACCAAAAACAAAGCAAAAGGTAGAGAATTTCTCACACACCCTGTACCCCCACATGTGCATAGCCTCAATCACTGTTGATCAGAGTGCCCACCAGAGTGATGCAGTTGTTGCAATGGATGAAACTACATCAACACATTATTATAAACCAAAGCCACAGTTTACGTCAAGGTTCACTCCTGGTGTGGTACATTCTGTGCCTTGGGACAAATGTGTAATGGTATGTATCCACCGTCATATGCCATACAGAGGAGTTTCACTGCTCTGAAAAATGCTTTATATCATCTTATTCACCTCTCTCTCCCCATTACCCCTCGCAACCACTGATGTCTTTACTGCTTCCAAAGTTTTGCCTTTTCTGGAATGCCAGGTAGTTGGAATGACGCAGTATCTAGCCTCCAGACTGGCTACTTTAACTTGGTGACATAGATTTAAGGTTCCTCCATGTCTCTTCCTGGCTTGATAGCTCCTTTCTTTTCAGCACGGAATAACGCTTTCAAGTTTCGGCAATTGTGAATAAAACTACTGTAAACATCTGTGTAGAGGCTTCTGTGTGAACATGTTTTCAAGTCCTTTGGGTAAATACCAAGAGGCACGATTGCCGGATCTTATAGTAAGAGTATGTTTCGTTTGGTGTGAAAGCATTAAGCTGTCTCCCAGAGCGGCTGTACCTTTAGGCATCCATTTCAACGACCCATGAGAATTTCTGCTGCTCCCCATCTTCACCAGCCTTTGGTATTGTCACCATTCTGCATATTGACCATTGCGATCGGTGTACATTGTTGTTTTAATTTGCATATTATTAACAATATGTTGTGTTTGTGTAGAGAAATTGTTTTATATGTTTATTTTCCATCCGTATGCCTCTTTTGGTGAGGTGTCCAATAAGGCCTTTGGCCCAGGTTTAATCCAGGTTGTTTGTTTTCCGACTCATGGGCTTCAAGAGTTCTTTAAATGAATAACAGGTGGGGTGTCTGGGTGGCCCAGTTGGTTGAGCCTCTGACTTCCTCTCAGGTCATGATCTCACGGTTCTGGGTTTCAGCTCTGCGTCGGGCCCCGTGGTGACAGCACATTGCCTGCTTGGGATTCTCTCTCCCCCTGCCCTTCCCCCACTTGTGCAGGCACGCTCTCTCTCAAAATAGACGTATAAACTAATAACAGCACTCTAGCAGATGTATCTTTTGCAAATATTTACTCCCAGTTTGTGGCTTGTGTTCTCATTTTCTTGAAAAGGTCTTTTCTGGAGAAGTAATCTTCAATTTTAATGAAATCCAGCATATCAATTCTTTCTTTCATGGATTGTCCCTCTGGTATTGGATCTACAAAGTCGTTGCCAGATGCAACTTTATCTCGACTTGCTCCGACGTTATCTTCCAGGAATCTTACAATTCCCCACTTTACATTTCGGTCTGTGATGCATTTTGAGTTCGTTTTTCGTGAAAGGTACTGTGAAGGCCTGTGTCGAGATTCTTTTTTTTCTTTTTCCTTTTTTTTCCTTTGGCATGTGGCTGTGTACTTGTTCCAGCACCATTTGTTGAAGTTATTTTCTTTGCTTTATTGTCTTGCCTTTGTTCCTTTGCCAAATATCAGCTAACTACATTTATGTGGATCTATTTCAGGTCTCTCTTTTCTGTTCCATTGATTTATTTGTCTGTTTTTTCTCTAATACTGCACTGCCTTGATTACTGTAGCTTTGTAGCAAATTTTGAAGTTGTATAACGTCAGTCCTCCAGTTTCGTTCTTCTTCAATATTGAATTGGCTATTCTGAGTCTTCTCCTCTCCCCTTTGTGGTGACAATAGTTCCAGGCCAGAGGGGGACAGTGGTTCTGATTCGAGGGTCCCCTCCCTGGTTAGCACAGCTACAAGCCTGCTGAAGCCACAGGATCCCATAGCAGAAGCTGCCTCGGTGTGACTCTTTTAAAAATGTGGCTGGCCTTCAGTGACATCTCCTAAGAGGAATAAGGTTTCCTTGATGAGGGTCTAAGATGGCTATCCCATGTGATGTTGGAGAATTTCGCAGCTATCACCCCCCTAGATGGTTGGTGTGGACTGGAGGATGCGGGCGCGCCTTCTGTATTGAGTTTCAGAGGAAAAATGTCCACGGGCAGAATGACACAGCCAAGTCTATCCTTCCAGAAGGCTCATCTTTGTGAGATGTGTATCCAGATGGCAACACACAGTTTGTGCCACGGCTGAGCACTTGAGAGGCATGTGGAAAATGACTGTGGTTCAGCACAAATCTTCACCAGCACCGGAAGGAGTACAGTGAACGTGGGACATGGACAGGTCCTCCCTTGTGAAAGGCTGCCCTTCACCTGTGGGAAGAGCTTCCTGAGCAACGCTGCCTTTCTCTAGTGCCGGCCACTCCCAGCTGGACAGCATCAAGTGTGGGGAGGCCTTTCACAGCAGAAGAAGTCATTGTACGTGCAGCAGACTGGGGAAAGTTTTTAGCTACACATACAAACTTGTTTGGCCTCAGTGAACTCACAATGGAGAAAAGGCCTCATGAGCGTGGGGAATGCTTTAGCCAAAGCCCCAACGTCATGCCTCACACTGGAGCCAGGGCTTACTACTGTGACGAATGTGGGGAACGTTTTAGCCTCAGCCCCATCTTGAGTCATCACCAGAGAGTTCTATGGAGCAGGGCCTTCTGAATGTGCCAAAAGTGGGAAATCCTTTAGACAAATCCTGGCTTCGATGGACACTGCCGAGTTCGTATTTGAGAAAGGCCTCATACATGCAATGAATATGGGAAATCCTTTAACTACAAATTTGACTGCCTTCAACAGCAGAGTGCACGCTGGAGAAAAGATTCTTATTCAGTGTTGGAACACTGGAGGACAACCTTTGTGAGAGAGCCATCTACCCGAATTGAATTGAACTCCATCTATCTGAACATACACAATGGGAAATTCTGCATAAATTCTAGGAACACGGGAAGCTTTAATGAGCGGCATTGTACTTTTTTTCCCTCTCTAGATATTTATTTTTGAAAGAGAGAGACGGAGTGTGAGCGGGGAAGGGGCAGAGAGAGAGAGAGAGAGAGAGACACACACACACACACACACACACACAGAATCTGAAGCAGGCTCCAGTCTCTGAGCTGTCAGCACTGAGCCCGACGCGGGGCTCGAACCCATGAACTGTGAGATCATGACCTGAGCCGAAGTGGGATGCTTAACTGACTGAGGCACCCAGGCGCCCCTCCAGCATTATACTTAACCTGCCCAGGCCAGGGCACTTGACAGATTTACGTCACAGACAGTTTCTGTGGCATAAGCTATTCCACTCTGCCACCTAGCAGATCGCTGATGTGTAGGTAGTCACCCCAGTGTAATAAGGGAAGACATGTTTCGTGTCTCATTTGCATGCCTTGCAGAGAACCATGCATAGTCTGAGTTTTAGGGGGCCTCATGCTCTCCTCTCGGACTAGTTAAGACATAGTCTTCACACAGTTTTGGCCGAGAAGACCCAGTCTGGATAAGACTGGAAACTTGCAAAAACATCTTTCTGTCAGCTCTTATTTAATCTGCAGAGCGGACAAAGGCCACCTAGGAACGGCTACAACAGTTTGTGGTCCTATTTTGTGGCCTGGATCTCAGGGGTTTTGTGTGTGTGTGTGTGTGTGTGTGTGTGTGTGTGTGTGTTTATGTTTTAGGTCCAGAGGTCACCTTGGGGAAGGGGAAATTGTTGTGACAAGCTTCAGGACTTTGGGGAAAAAGAAAAATTGGTTCCATTGTACCCAGGGCATGTCACATAATGCCCAGCACTACTGAGGGGAGGGCGTTCCCCAAGTACTGCAAAGGAACCGTGTACCCTAATGTCCAGAATTTGGTTTGCTGGTGTCACTTGTGATGAGACTACAGGGGCCAGACTGAAACACTGCGTGTGATTAGTAGGGTCTAGAGAAGACTGCACCACTCTAGACAGAATGTGCCTCTTCTGAAAGTTGTTCAAGGGCCGACGGCTGTATGAGATGAGTGTGTATACCTCAGACCTGGGTTTTTCCTGAAGCTGAGGTCATTGTCAGATCAAATAAGGGTTTGTTTGCTCCTGTAGCCTCTGGATGGTTCACCTCAAGGCCATCGTTGCACAGTCAAGAAAGTGAAAATAGAGAAAAGGGAAAATCCCATAGTCTGGTGATGTGACTTTTATCACTCAGCTAGAGATTTTGTTGGCTCAGACAGAAACGATCTTTTTTATTTTTTTTTAAATTTTTTTTTCAACGTTTATTTATTTTTGAGACAGAGAGAGACAGAGAGACACAGGGGAGGGGCAGAGAGAGAGAGGGAGACACAGAATCGGAAACAGGCTCCAGGCTCTGAGCCATCAGCCCAGAGCCCGACGCGGGGCTCGAACTCACAGACCGCGAGATCGTGCCCTGGCTGAAGTCGGACGCTTAACCGACTGCGCCACCCAGGCGCCCCGAAACGATCTTTTTTAAAAAAATATATATTTTTATTGAAAAAAACATTTTTGGAACGTTTATTTCTTTTTGAGAGAGACAGAGCGTGAAAGGGGGAGGGGCAGAGAGAGAGGGAGACACAGAATCCGAAGCAGGCTCCAGGCTCCGAGCTGTCAGCACAGAGCCCATCAGATAGAAATGATCTTTATTGCTTACCAATAGTGCCTGCCACTTAGAAGAGAGCTGTCCTTCCCAAGGCACACAAAAAAAGAGATGGTCACATATGTAGAGAGTTGCCAGACCTTCTGGTTTCTGAAAAAGAAGAGATCTAAACTTTTATGGAAACATTTTTTCAAGTTTTATTGAAGTATAACTGGCATGCCATAACCTCACAAATTTTAAAGTGTACAATTGGGTTACCTTTGACATACATAAAGACCCATAAAACCACCTTAATCATGTTAATGAACCTGCCCATTACCCTTGTATTTACCTTGTACTTCTTTACAATCTCTCCCTGCCCTCACCAGCCCTCCAGGCAATGACTGATTTACTTTCCTCGACAATAAATTCGTTTGCATTTTCTAGAATTTTAGATGATCAGAACCATGAAGTGTTTGCTTTTTGTCTCATTCTGGTTTCTTTCATGCCACATAATTAAGATTCATACATGTTCCTTAAGTAATTCATTATTTTTATTGCTGAATAGTGTCCTGTTGTATGGATATACATACATGTGTATCCATTAGCCTGTTAATGGATGTTTGGGCTGTTTCCACTTTGGGGCTATTATTACAAATAAAGCTGCTTATTTAAAGTGGACAGTTTGATCTTTTGATACGTGCTAAAACACTACAACCGAAAGTTTCTTCTTGCCATTTTATTTATTTATTTATTTATTTATTTATTTATTTATTTCATTTTAGAGAGAGAGAGAGCATGAGCTGAGGAGAGAGGCAGAGAGAGAATCCATGCTGAGCACGGAGCCTGACATGGGGCTCATTTCCACGACCCTGGGATCATGACCTGAGCTGAAATCAAGAGTCAGGCGCTCAACCCACTGAGGCATCCAGACGCCCCGCTTCTTGCCCTTTTATTTTTTTTTTAATGTTTTTTTAATGTTTTTATTTATTTTTGAGACAGAAAGAGGCAGAGCATGAGCAGGGGAGGGGCAGAAAGAGAGAGAGACACAGAATCTGAAGCAGGCTCCAGGCTCTGCGCTGTCAGCACACGGGGCTCGAACTCACGGACTGTGAGATCATGACCTGAGCGGAAGCCGGACGCTTAACCGACTGAGCCACCCTGGCGCCCCTCTTGCCCTTTTAAATCCATCCTTTGTGACATATGAAATTGAAGACAGCGTACCTTTTGGAACGGATATTTTTGTGTGTGTAGACGAATGGAGGCAAATGCCTTATGAAGCTCCCCGAAGTCTTCCCCACTTTTCCAACATTATCTGTCAACTCGTGGCCACTCTCATTGCATCTGTCTCCACCACGTTACTGGATTATTTTACCTATAATCCCAGACATCGTATTAATTCATGCATAACTTCTTGAGAACGCATTTCTAGAAGGTAACTTCAGAACTTTAGGAACTATCACACAAAATAAAAATATTTCAAATATGGCAAAACTTGGATTAGGCGAATGGGTAAACAATACACAGACTAAAAAGAATTTTTAAAAAAGCCTAAACATGTTCCAAAGATATATGAAACATATTAAATCTCACCAGCAACAAAGATTTACAAACCCAAATAAACACAACTCTTGAATTTTGTTTGCCCACATCTGGTAAAGATTTGAAAGTTTAATAGCGTTCGATGGTTCGCAGGGAAATGGTCTCTCTCATACCGGTTGGTGGAAATATACACTGGCATCACAGCTCTCAGATTAATCTGGCATAGCCTTTTAATTTAGAAATTTCACTCTTAGAGGGGCGCCTGGGTGGCGCAGTCGGTTAAGCGTCTGACTTCAGCCAGGTCACGATCTCGCGGTCCATGAGTTCGAGCCCCGCGCCAGGCTCTGGGCTGATGGCTCGAGCCTGGAGCCTGTTTCCGATTCTGTGTCTCCCTCTCTCTCTGCCCCTCCCCCGTTCATGCTCTGTCTCTCTCTGTCCCAAAAATAAATACACGTTGAAAAAAAAAAAAGAAATTTCACTCTTAGGAACTTAACTGACGGAAATAACTGAGAAAGTAAACACAAAGGAAAAATGCAAATAACGTTAATGCCAACTACAAGACAGTAAAAAATTAAAATAAATTTTGCTGTATTTCTTTCACAGAAGAATATTTTATCATTGAAAGCAATGCTCTGAGGGCTCCTGGGTGGCTCAGTCCGTTGAGCATCTAACTTTGGCTCAGGTCACGATCTCACAGTTTCTGGATTCGGGCCCACGTCAGGCTTTGCACTGATAGCCTGGAGCCTGCTTCAGATTCTGTTTCCCTCTCTCTCGGCTCCTCCCCTACTCATTCTCTCTCTCTCAAATAAATAAATAAATAAATAAATAAATAAACATTTTAAAAATTAGGGGTGCCTGGGTGGCTCAGTCAGTTAAGTATCTGACTTTGGCTCAGGTCATGATCTCACAGATCATGAGTTCAAGCCCCACATCAGGCTCTGTGCTGACAGGTCAGAGCCTGGAGCCTGCTTCGGATTCTGTCTCCCTCTCTCTCTGCCCCTACCCTGCTCGTGCTCTGTATCTCTCTCTCTCTTTCAAAAAATAAATATTTAAAAAAATTAAAATAAAAGAAAACAATGCTGTTAATAGGGTAGCAAATGCCTTCCAATTCATGTGCCAAATTTTACAAATCCTATCAATAACTTTACCTGCTTTGGACAAAAATGATAAAATGAGTAACGTATGTATATTTTATTATGGATCAGATCATTATGTAAATAAGATTAATTATTTACATGTTTAAATGTGAACAATTTATTTCATATTATTAGCAAAGTCATGCACATGCAGGCAATATTTTGCCAATGGCAGCATAATTCAAACAATCAATATTCCGTCATCCTCTTTGTGAACCACATGAACTTAACAGAACAGAAAGACATTGTAAATATAATATATGTTTAGAAAAACATCATCAAAAAATAAATTACAAATTTATATGTACCAAAACATATATAAAACCATATTGATCAGAATAATAGCAACAACAACAATGAAGATCCTATAGTATTTGTAACATAGAGCAACAGGAAAGCATTTTCTGGCATTATTCTGCAACTGATCCATTATACTTTAGCCTTGTTGAATTTTAAAATTTTTTTTCAACGTTATTTATTTATTTTTGGGACAGAGAGAGACAGAGCATGAACGGGGGAGGGGCAGAGAGAGAGGGAGACACAGAATTGGAAACAGGCTCCAGGCTCTGAGCCATCAGCCCAGAGCCTGACGCGGGGCTCGAACTCACGGAGCGCGAGATCGTGACCTGGCTGAAGTCGGACGCTTAAATGACTGCGCCACCCAGGCGCCCCTAGCCTTGTTAAATTTTAATTACGATGGTTGTACTGTGCTTATGTGGGAGAATGTCTTTACTTGTTGGCTCCATCCCCAAATATGGGATGATGGGGGCATCACGTTGACGACTCTCAAATGGTTCTAGGGAAAAAAAATCCTTGTACTATATCTTGGACATTTCTCTAAGTTTGAAATTATTTCAAAATAAAATGTAATTTTGAAAGCCTACCAAGTGAACTCATTTATAAATCACATGAGTAACATTCTACCTCACTAGAACAATTGACAGATTATACCTTTGTACATAGTTTTATTTATAACAGATTGAAATATCTTATTTAACTCCACATATTGTCATTATGTTTTCACTTTGAAAGAATGAATAAACTGGTATTTCATAGGGTCACATACTGTTTTACCAGATACAAATATAACTGTATATTCATTACAAATAGATTTATTCTATCTTATACTCTCCAAAGGCAAATTTGGAATTTGTTAGTTTATTTTTTAAAAATTTATATTTTATTTACTAAAAACACTTATGTTTGTCATTTATTTTATGCACTTTACTTGGAATGCAAATTTCTAAAAAAAGGAAAAAAAAAGATTGGGGGTCTGGGTGGCTCAGTTGGTTAAGCGTCTGACTTTAGCTCAGATCATGATCTCATGGTTTGTGAGTTTGAGCCCCACATCAGGCTCTATGCTGAAGGTCAGAGCCTGGAGCCTGCTTCAGATTCTGTGTCTCCCTCTCTCTTTGCCCCTATTCGTTCTTGCTATGTCTCTCTCTCTCTTTCTCAAAAATAAATAAACATTTAAAAGAATTTTTAAAAACAAACGGGTTGAGAGAGAATTGCTAATAATGAGAAATGACATTTTACTATTTGCTACTTATAAGGTAGTTGTGTATTTTTTGAAACTGAATGGGATTTGTAAAATGTTAACTTGAAAAAGTGAGTTATTAAACCACACTTTTTCCTCATATGCCTTTCTCAAATCTAGAACTATTTTGCTATTTGCCTTTTTGGTCTGGAACATATAGTAGGTTCATTTGGCATAAGAAATTTTTGAGCCGGGCTGACTCCTAGTAGTAACCATCTTGCCTTACTAAGAGTCCAAAACTAATGGGTTCAATATCCAAGCATCAAATTATGCTGAAGATGGATGTCAGAGTGATCCCTATACAACTTCTGGAATTTATCTGTGCTAGCCTCTTCCCCAAGCGCAATCCCCCACCCCTCATCTTGACTTGTCTTGAGGAACCATAACCAATGTGCATTTCCGGTCTTCTAGCACCTGTCACATGCTCCTCCATGTTTGTTCACAGTGGCTATTCAATCACAAAAGAAAATGCTCAGACACTGAAGAACATCAGCATTTGGATTACTAATTAACTCACGTTAAAAGTGTTCAGGCTTCAGGCTCTGGGCCGTCAGCGCACAGCCCGACGCAGGGCTTGAACCCACAAACTGTGAGATCATGACCCAGGCGGAAGTAAGATGCTGAGCGGACTGAGCCACCCAGGCGCCCCCAATGTTGCCTCTTCAGAGGCCTCCTTTCACCACGGGAACTCCTGGAATCCTCCTCCTCCCCCACCCATGTAACTCTACCCCGGGCCTGTTTCGTTGTTTTTTGTATCACCCATCACTACCTGTAATAATTTTTTCTGTGTCCTTCAACTAAAAGGGGAGCTCCGTGAAGGCAGGAATACTGCTGTCACCCTGGGGCTTATTACTGACCCAAGCACACAGTAAATACTAAATAAGCTGTTGAATACAGTGCTAATTTCGAAGCATTAACTGGCCTGGTACAGACACAACAATCAGAACAGATGCCAGATGTGAACAACTAGAGTCACCCTGCTCCAGTGTGCAGACTGAATGTTAGCCTCAGTGAAAGGAGTGAGTGGCTCTAAGCTTAGGTCATCGGCCTACTGGCCAGGAACTTATTACCGTTCTCCCTATCGCCTTCCTTAGAACGCTTTCTGAATTCGTACCTGTTAACAGTGACTATACCTCTCTTAATTGTAAAGCAGAACTTTATTACTGCAAGCCTCACAAATATTTCCAGCAATATTTTATAATGAACCGTGGTCATAGGATGGCTCGTATTTTCTCATTTTTTCTGTTATCTGGCTTTTGAAAAGACGAATTCTAATTCCAGCCTGTCTTCCTTTGGCCAATATTAATATATAGCATATATAAAGTAGAATATAAAGTCTCAGTATACCAATCAGTTCTTCTTTTTGGGTTCAAATTCAGCACCACTGTATTTTCCTTTTTTCATTTCATCTACCTTGAGCAACTCAAAACTGACAATAAAGGAAGTCAAGTATTTTTCACATGCTTTGCTCTTTCTGTTGAAAGCAGACGGGGGCGCCTGGGTGGCGCAGTCGGTTAGGCGTCCGACTTCAGCCAGGTCACGATCTCGCGGTCCGGGAGTTCGAGCCCCGCATCAGGCTCTGGGCTGATGGCTCAGAGCCTGGAGCCTGCTTCCGATTCTGTGTCTCCCTCTCTCTCTGCCCCTCCCCCGTTCATGCTCTGTCTCTCTCTGTCCCAAAAATAAATAAACGTTGGAAAAAAAAAAAATATTAAAAAAAAAAAAAAAAAAAAAGGGAAAGCAGACAAAATACGCGAGGCCCTGTCAGGATTGAGTCTTCACTCTGTATTGAGTGTTGCCCACCTGCTCTCCTCACATCCACCACGCAATAAATTATTTAGGTCAAGACTCATTTCTTCCTTTTTAAAAATCTCTTTAAAATCCAACACCCAATATAAGCGGGAGCAGGAACTTTAAGTTAAATTGAGTTGAATTTATCTTCTGATTTATCCGAGCTGGATTTCAGTATGTGCTATATAAAATTAATAATTTCACACTTCTCTTTTTCCTTCTTTCTTGGCCCAAATAATTTCCCTTTTAGAGTCTTGGAGTTGCAATGGTACATATTCTTTCTACTCCCTTGTCCTTGCTCTCAGATCTATTTCTGAGATCTCGCTGGTTCACAGTAACAATTAAGATCATGTTCCCCCATTTATGGTTAAA